AGAGAGAGAGAGAGAGAGAGAGAGAGAGAGAGAGAGAGAGAGAGAGACTCCATCCATCCATCCATCCATCCATCCATCCATCCATCCATCCATCCATCCATCCATCCATCCATATATACCCCAAAAGACATGCACAAGGTCATACATTCACAGCAGCATTATTCAGAATCACACTGACTGAAAAGAATTTATAAGCCCACCAGTATTAGAAAAGATAATAAATTATGGCATTTTCACACAGTGGAAGACCCTATGGAAAAGTGAACAACTGTTACAGCCAACACAGAAATTGTACAGCCGCAGTGTGATCAAGAGAAGCCAGGCTTTATATGAGAACACAAACTAAATGATGTTCAGAACCTCCAGAAAGTTGGGAGGGGCTGCTTGGGGGAAGGGTAGGGAGGCAGATATTATAAAACTCATGAAGGGCCTGGCTAGTGCTAGAGAGTTCTATTTCTCATCTGAATATGCATCCCATGCATGGGACAACTAGTGAAAATTAGCTGACCCATAATACACTCATGGTTTATGCATTTCTTGTGTTTGAGACAGGGTCTCTCTATGTATCCCGGGTTGGCCTTGAACTCAGGAAGTACTAGAGTACAGGCATGTGCCATATGTCTGGCTCCTGTACTTTCAGTGGTATATTTTTCTTAAAAATTCCACTCACAAAGGCATCACAGCACAGAGGGAGGGAAGGCTGCTCTGCAGACAGGAGAGGGAAGAAAGACCAATCCACACGAGTGAGGCAAAAGTGTGGTTACGGAAGGGGCGGGGCGGCTTGACCAGAAATAGCAAAATCAAGCTAAAATCAAGTTGGAACTCTTGGCACAGGATGGAGTCTCCAAATCCTATTCTTTGGGGCAGGAGGAAGGGCTGCGTATCCTCAGGACCGTCAAGTGTAAAGACCTGCTTGAGGACACACATCTACTGACGACAGGCTGAAGGCAAAGCACACACAAATTCGGATGGATCTTGGGATGTGGCTGGGGCGGGTTCAGGGTGTGGAGGAAGAGATTAAAATTCGGCTCTTGAAAAAGCAGAATCTGGAAGGCAAGAGGAACGCCCAGGCTCAAAACACACCTCACATGTAACTGATGGGCGCCTAGAGAGAAAAAAAATAGCTGACCAGACTCCCCTTGAGTCAAGCTCAGTGTAGCTTTGAAATAAGTGGGGCCGATGTGGAGGG